ATTAGGACACCAGTCATGCTGGATTAGGGCTCATTCTGTTTATGGCTCAATCCCTCAGTCAGGGTCTACAACTTCAAGCTGGGTCAGAGAACACATGCTTTACCTTCGCCTAGAGTCTGAATGTTACTTCTGCATCACTTTCTCTCACAAAAGCATCCAACCTAACATTACACTCTATAGATCTCCGCTCCAAAATATACTTTGAGTCTTTTCATTTGTGTGTGGTTTGCACTGCCAGCACCCATCATCTAAGCTCCTAGAATTCTATAGTCTGGGGATGCAAATTAGGCCATATTAAGATTAATGCTTTTATTAGTTAGGATTAGTCTGGAATATCCTCTAAACTGCTTCTTCCACTTTTACTCTTGCCCCTGAGATCTAGTTTTCCAAAGTAAATTTGTTTTCCTGAGCACCACCATTTACAAATGCAAACTAGTTCACGTCAATTTACTGATTAAAAATTCTGCCTAAGTCTCTGACATCATCTCTCTCTCTCTCTTTTTATTTTTTAATCTTTTGAAACACTTTTTTCAATTATGGTTTACATTCAATATTATTTCGTATTGGTTTCAGGTATACAGTATAGTGGTTAGGCAATCGTATGCTTTACAAGTGTTTCTCCCCATATTTCCAGTACCCATCTCCAACTCTCTTGCCTTGCTCACAACAGTTTGACCACATGGGTCATTTGGTTGTTCTCTTGAATATGGTAGGTTTTCTCCTGCTTCAGGGTCTCTATATTCTACTAGCTACTCTCTTTCCCCAGATGTTTGCCTCAATGTCTCCTTCTCATCCTATATGCCTTCGTATTAATGCTACTTCTTGGCAAGGTGTTTCTTGACCAATCTAAAGTATGTTTCTACCACCCCTCTTTATTTCATTACCCTGTTTCATTTTTTTCAAGACACTTCTCGAAAGTTGACATTATCTTAACTGCTTATTTGTTCATTATCTGAGGATCCTCCTCCTCACCCCAGACACAACTAGATGGTAAGTTAATGTTCTCTGCCTGCAGTCCCAACGTCTAATGCATGGTAGATGCTTAACCAATAATTGTTAAAGAATGAGTGAATAAGTGACTCTCCCAAGGCATAAAACTCCTTCTTCTTTCCACCTCAAAATAAAAAAGTATCCCAATCAAATAACCTGAGAAAGAAGCACCAAATTACCAGTTTCATAAAGAGCCAGCTTGAATTAGTTTCAACTCAGCACAAATACAAAGCGAGGTTTTTCTGAGATCTTTGTATGTCTCCCTCAACTGTGATCGCAGACCTAGATTGACTATGCAGCACCATATAGCAGCCTAGACGGCTTCTAGAGGCAGTTCAAACTCTCAAGGTTCAGGCTATCAAACACCCTGCTCTGTGGAACCAACTGACCTTTGGCCAGCAAACAGGAGAGGCCACTTAGAAGGGAACCTAATGTTTTCCTTAGGTCAGGTCAGATTCATTTCAAGAACTTTACATATATGAACTTACAATGACTCCGTAAATTCTGTGCTATCATTACAAACAATTACAGCTGAGGAACCAGAGACAGAGAGGTGAAACAGCTCGCCTAACATTACATAGACAGTAATACGCTGAGTTGGGGTTTGAACTGTAGTTTAGCTCCATGTTTTTAACCATCACTGCATGTAAAATTTGGAAGATGAGGACTAAAACACTAGTCTAATTTGGACTAGAAGGGACAGAAACATATTTTGAAAACTTCTTGGCTTACACACGTAAGAACACCCTCTTACGAATCAAAAGTAAATATTAAACACTTTTTCTCTCTCAATTTGTGAACAATTTTAGCTATATTTGTTAAAAGTGAAATTGTGTTACAATCAAATTCCAAAGGAAAAACAAAATTCTTAGTATCCAGTGTTGTTTGAAAGAGAAATCAGGACAATTCTTTGTCCTCTCACTAAATCTTGTGCCCTGCTTGCTGTGTCTATTTCCTTTCTGTAACCTGTTGTACGGTGTTAGGTAAGTGACATCACCTTACAATGCCTTTCCTTCTTCATTAAGGCCAGGGAAGCACATGGACTGAGACCACCAGTTTCAGACCCAGACCTGTGACTTCGCAACTACTACCTACGTGACCTCGGACAAGGTCGATATTACTTCACCGAGTTTCTTTCCTCATCTTTAAAGTTGCGATATTAGCCCTGGTCAGTTGCTCAGTGGTTAGAGCGTCGGCCCACAGACCAATGAGTTGCGGGTTTGATTCCAGCCAAGGGCACGTACCTCAGTTGTGGTGTCCCTGTGCGGGAGGCAGCCAGTCAATGTGGCTCTATCACATCGATGTTTCTCTCTGAATCTCCCGCTCTCTGTCCCTCCCACTCTATCTGATGATAAGTAGAAAAGTATCCTCAGGTGAGGAATGAATGAATGAATGAATGAATGAATAAATAAATAAATAAATAAAGTTGTGATAGTACCCACCACACAAGGCAGTAGAGAGGATTAATACAATAAAATATATAAATTATTTGGCATATAGTCAACTCTTATATTTTATTGCAACTATCACAATATATAAAATTTAGTTTTGTCTTACAAAACAGACCCTGCTTTCAGTTGCCTTATTAACAGACATAAATTTGGTAGTTTTCCAGATTCCTCCTCATTTATTAAATATTACTTGTGGAGCTCCTATGCACAAAGACAAAATGTCTTAAGACAATTATTTTTCATTTGGGACAACAAGAGTTGTACGTACTTACCTATATTAAAAACTAGAAAGTGATATATATTTTCAGTGAGGGGCAGTCATGACAATTTAGAGGAGGAAGAAATTGCTTTTACCTCCAAGAGGTGGGGCACAGAGCAGAGAAAGGGCATTTGAGCTATACCTTAAAGGATGTTACTAATATACTTTTTCTCTGCCTAGCCAACCGACTAAAATAATTACATTCTCCTCTGTAGTATGCATCATCACTTTGCACTACTTTTTGAAATTAAATTTATATTAGACTGTAATTCCTGTTCCAGTCTCCTATTTGTGCACCTCTGGATGGCGGGATTGTCTTATCACCACTGACTTCTCCGGCACCTGATAAAAGGAATAGGTAGTAATGAGAGAAATTACAGAAAAGCTGTTTGGGTTTTGGGGTTAGTCCAGCATTGAGTGTGGCTCTAGAGTCTGACTGATTTTAACTTCAGGCTGTGCCTCATAGCTCAGGTACCTGACTTTTAGGGTTGGCAAATAAAAACGGGACACCCAGCAAAATTTGAATTTCAGATAAACAAAAATAGTTTTTTGGTATAAGTATGCCCCATGCAATCATTATGGCACACTTATAACAAAATATTATCTGTTTTTTATCTGAAATTTCTTATATAACTGGGCACCTGGACATTTTACTTGCTAAATATGACAACCTTAGCAACATCTCTTATCTGTTACTTGGAAATGGGAGTGAAAATAAGTACCTTGTTAGGATAATCTATACAAAAAATATAATCCATGGTACTTCTTTAACTTGCCTTCCAAATCAGGGTACTTTAGTAAGAGATATATCTCAAATTTCTGGGACAGTGGCCCAGGTACACCCCAAATATGGTTGCCCTTATTAGACAGATGGCTTTCTTAAGAACGCAGAAAAATAAAATAAACTCAAAATGGATAGAAGACTTAAATATGACTCATGAATCGATAAAAATCCTAGAAGACAATGTAGGCAACAAAATTTCGAACATCATACACAGCAGAATTTTCACCGATACATCACGTAAGGCAACAGAAACAAAGGAGAAAATGAACACATGGGACTACATCAAACTCAAAAGCTTCTGCACAGCAAAAGAAACAACCACCAAAATGGAAAGGCAACCCACTCTATGGGAGAGCATAATTGCCAATGATACATCAGATAAGGGGTTCATTTCCAACATATATAGAGTGCTCATACAACTGAACAAAAGGAAGACAAAGAACCCAATTAAAAAACGGGCAGAGGAACTAAATAGACACCTTTCCAAATAGGACATACAAATGGCTAAGAGACATATGAAGAAATGCTCAACATCACTAATCGTCAGAGAGGTGCAAATTAAAACAACAATGAGGTATCACCTCACACCTGTCAGAATGGTCGCCATCAACAAATCATCAAACAACAAGTGTTGGCGAGGGTGTGGAGAAAAGGGGACTCTAATACACTGCTGGTGGGAATGCAGACTGGTGCAGCCACTATGGGAAACAATATAGTGTTACCTCAAAAAATTAAAAATTGAACTTGCATTTGACCCAGTGATCCCACTTCTAGGAATATACTCTAAGAAGCCTGAAACACCAATCAGAAAGAATATATGTACCCCCATGTTCATAGCAGCACTATTTACAATAGCTAAGATCTGGAAACAACCCAAATGTCCATCAGTAGACAAATGAATAAAAAAGCTGTGGCACATACACACAATGGAGTACTATGCAGCTGTAAGAAAGGTCTCTTATCCTTTGAGATGACATGGAGGGACCTGGAAAGTATTATCCTAAGCAAAACAAGCCACACAGAGAAAGACAAGTATCATATGATCTCACTTATTTGTGGAATATAATGAACATAACAGTCTGAGGAATGGGGTACTCCCAGAGACGGTAAGTGACATACAGACTGACAATCCCAGAAGAGGGGGTGGGGAGAGAGATAAACCACAGAACTTAAATTCATGTGTGCATGAACAATGGACATGGACAACAAAGCTGGGGACGGGGAGAGGGGAGGGGGGAATCAGTGGGGGGGAAAAGGAAAGACATCTGTAACAAAAATGAATTAATTAAAAAAAGAATGCAGAAAAAAGTTCATTAGAACTCTGAACAAAGTTGCAAACTGCTTTCAGAGATTTGCAAATTTGCTTTAAAGTGCAAGGGTGTTTGAGGGATGTTGCACCAGGCAGAAATGAACCATCTGTAGAGAGGCTTGGCGCTGATGCTGCGCACGCGCACAAGAGCTCCAGCGTCTGCTCGCCAGGTCCCGCCCCACCGGAGAGAATCACGTGGGGGAAGAGAGACCGGACCGCGTCACGTGACCCACACCACAGCTTTGCCCAGGGATGGAGCCAGAAGAGGGGACCCCCCTGTGGCGGCTGCAGAAGCTTCCAGCCGAGCGGGGCCTGCAGGTGAGGAGGGCACAGTCGGCGGCGCGGGGCCGGGGCCGGGGCCGGGGCTCGGGACGGCCTGGCGTGCGGTCAGGCCCGTCAGACCAAGACGCGTTCTCCGGGCTGGGCTCGCGGCCCTGGGAAGGCAGGGTAAGGGGCGTGCTTTCAGGTGACCGGTCCCCTGCTTCTCTGGAGAGCTGTGGAGGCCGAGATTTGGGGACCACCTCCGCGCGCCGCGGCTTGGAGTCGCCTCTCGGGGGGCTTTGCGCGCAGACTCCGCGGGGACGCGCCGCACCCCGGTGCCGAGGCCCGTCTGTCCCCTGGCTTGGCCGGGCACCCAGAGACCCTGGGCTGGGCTTGCAGCTTCTCACGTTTCATTCATTCATTCAACACAAACCTCCCAGACGCTGCCCAGGCACTAGGAGCCGAGCTAGGGCCGGGGGTATCGTGGAGACTTAGAGAGGCACACCCGGCCCCCGGAGGGAGACAGAAAAAAAAGGTAAAGGCTACTAACAACTGGGAGACCTGCTTTGGTAGGGTGTTCAAAGGTGGCCTTTTCCTCTAGAGGTGACATACACAGTTGTGTCTGGCTCAAGGTGGTTCTTAAATCGGTGTTTGTTGAGGGAAGGAATCAATTATTGTACATTAAACTCAGCTTTATCATTGGGGCAGTCATCTGGATCCCAAGCTCGGAAGGCTGGCCTTCCATGTCAGTGACCGGCAGCTTTGCATAAGTTCCATTTACTATGGGTGCAGGGTGGGCATGGGCTCTTAGCCTACATAATGTGGTAGAGGGGTATGTGTGGGTAGCTTTTATAAGTTCCAAAGTTTGGCCTTCTGTTTTCCTCTGTATATGAGGAAAGTCATGTAGTACATTAGCCGTGGTTTGCAAGTGGGGTCGCCAGTTGCTCATCTCTGTTATGATCTGTGTAGTGGTATACAGAAGGAGTTATAGCTTAAGATGGAGTGGAATGTTAGCCATGGGAAAAGAGTTGAAAATGCTGCTGAAATGTATTTCCAAGTTATTTGGGTTGAACTACTTTTCTTACAAGAGATAAATATCCCTGAGAAAGAATACCATGTTAATCATTCGTCTAGAATAGTCCGGGTATAGTCACTTAATATATGTTAAAGGCTTGGAACACAGTACTAGTAGAAACAGTGATAATAAATAATAATACGAAGAAGGATGATAATGACTAGCAATGTTTAAGTGCCTTGTATAAGCCAGCAATGTGCCAAGTGATTTGTATGTATTCTGATTTAATCCTTATCCTCATTTTACACATGAGGAAATAGGCACAGAACTTTTAAATAAGTTGACAAAACTTGTTAAGTAGTGGAACTAGGATTCAGGCTTAGGCAGTTCCAAAATCCACAGTCTTACTTACTATGTTCAGTTATGTAAGGGTTAGGATTTCCATTGCTGATATTAAGTAGAGTAGAGAAAAAGGAGTGTGAAAAAGGAAGAGAAAGGTACTGAGGGCTTTCTTGGAGTGGACCAAAGAAGTAACTATAAATGTTGTGAAAAATGGAGGTAAGGGAAAATGAATTTTGTAGGTCTACAGTAAAAGACTTTGCTCTAAGAGTTATATTTTTGTTGTCGTTGCTATAAATATGCTGTCTAAGGAACCCCAAGATGAAACTTTTATATTCACCATCTTCCTTTCAGGAGCATTGGGAAAACAACAGTGTATCTATAAAAAATTTAACTTCTGCCCTGGCTGAGTTGGCTCAGCCATTGGAGCATCAGCTCCGGGACCAATGAGGGTTCGATTTTGGTCAAGGGCATGTACCTCGGTTGCAGTTCGTTCCGGGCCCTAGCCTGGTCATGCAGGAGGCAACTAGTCAATGTGGCTCCATCACTTCGATGTTTCTCTCTGTCTGTCTCTCTCTCTGTCTCTCTCTCTCTCTTTCTCTCTGCCTCCCTCCCTCCCACTCTATCTGATGATAAATAGAAAAGTATCCTGCCCTGGCCAGTTTGGCTCAGTGGTTGGAGCATCGGCTTGCGGACCAGAGAGTCCCGGGTTTGGTTCCGCTAGGGGCATGTACCAGAAAAAAAAAAAGAAATGTATCCTCAGGTGAGGAATTAAAAAAAAAAAAATTAACTTCTGCCCATGGACAAAATGATAGACTTTTTTTGTGACGTTCTAACTTTTAATTAGTAAAATAATGTTAAAAGTAAATACATTTCAACCTCAGCTGTACTTGTAGATAACATGAACTTCTCCAAACATTTGCTACAAAGGAAATAAATCTGTTTTATAATTTTACTCATAATTACACTTTTCTTTTTTCTCTCTAGCTTCTTCACAAAATAATTGACGGCATTTGTGGCCAAACTTATCCTCTCTATCAGGATTATCAGAGTGTTTGGGATTCCACAGAGTGGATTCATGTCCTGGAAGATATTACCAAATTTTTCAAAGCTGTAGTTGGTAAAAATTTATCTGATGAAGAGGTAACTTTAGTCTAAATTTCTGTATATTATAATAAATAATAAATAGTGTTCAGATTTTTTATTAAGTTGGTCTTTAGGGCACTATGTAATACAAGGGTCATCATTAGTAAGTACTAATCACAAAAACCTCATTATTGTGAGTAAGCAGAATTGTTGGGCATTGTGTTCTATGTGCAGATTAGATTAAGTAGAAAGAAAGTGTTTTTCAATTCTACACTGTTACTGATTTTTTGGTCTCTGTCAGTTACTGATAGGTATATTAAATTAATTTTCATAAGCTAATTATAAATGTAGAATTACCCATTTCTTTTTTGAGTTCTTCCAAGTTTTGCTGCTTTATATATTTTGAAGCTGTTACTAGGTACACACAGATTTATGATTGTTGTATATTTCTGTTGAGCAACCCCTTTGCCATGCTTCTCTATTTTCCCCTCCTCCCATAAATTATTTATTTATTTTTCTTCTTTTTGTTGAATTTATTTGGGTACAGGTTTCAAGTATATAACTCAATAAAACATCATCTGCACACTGCATGGTGCGCCCATCACCCCAAGCAAAGTCTTTCCGTCCCCGTTTCCCCCCATTTGTACACCTCCATCTATTCCCCATGCCCCATTTCCCTCTGGCTATCACCATGCTTTTGTCTGTGTCTGTGTGTTATATTTATGTATGTTTTTTGCGTAATACCTTTACCTTCTTTTATACAGTCCCCCAACCCCTCTCCCCTGACAGCTGTCAAGTCTGTTCCATGTATCTATGCTTCTGTTTCTATTTTGTTCATCAGTTTATTTTTGTTCATTAGATTCCACTTGTAAGTGAGAATATTTCTTGCCTTGAAGTGTATACTGTCTGATATATTAATATAGCCGTGCCAGCCTTTTTTTAGTGGGCTCCAGATGAATTCACTTTTATGCTCTTCATCAGTCAGCCCTTTTCCTTTACTTCCTGTTTTGCAAATATTTGTTAAAAACTATGTGAAGGAGAGGAGAACTATGTGTTTACATTTTAAATAGAAAGGTCCTTTCACTTATTTTATAACCGTTTATTTTTATTTTCATAGATATCTCAGCAGTTGAATCAGTTGAATTCATTTCATCAAGAAGCTATGATGAAATGCTTGAAAAGTAGAAAAGATGAAATTAAACGGGCTCTGTTAGATGAAATAGTCGATATTTCCTCTGCACAGTTACAGGATTTTGATTGGCAGTTAAAGGTAAGAATCTATTTATGAGTGTGTGTATTTCAGTTTTTGAATAGGCAGAAAGGTTTATTTTTTATACATCTAAAATTTCTGTTACTTTGAGAATGCAGTGTCCCATAAAGTTATCAAAGATAATTAAAATTATATCTTTTGTATTAACTGGGCATCAGTATACTATAAATATCCAAACCATGTGTAATAACTTTACAATGATAAATTTAATTAACTGGAGCTGTACATCATTACATGTTATAAATAATGGAGCAGTAGGTATGTATTTAACTTTTTTTTTTTTGACTGGAACTTTCTAGACTTTCTCATCTTCCCAAGATTGGTAAATGTGATTCTGCTAGGGAAAACTCTATAATGTGTTATTAAAACAGCATTTAAAAACATTTTTAAAGGAGTCGTGATCAGCAATCTTCATTATCTTAGAACCATTGGATGCGCTCAGCCATAACTCTGCTGTAGACTTCTTTTGTTGACCGGCTGTCTTTCCTTCCTAACCCACCTTCTCGCTGTTACTTACTTTATCTCTTTCTGTTCTTCAGATATATGTTGGTTTGGCAAGGGTTTAATTTTTTTTTTTCCTTCCACCTTTCCCTGTACTTGACAGCAAACAGGAGTACTTTTTTTTTTTTTAATGTGTTTTTATAAGCTTTGATGCATATTTAATATAGTCCTGCTTAGTATCTATTAATTCCTATTTTCCTCATTTTAAACAGCTTGCACTTTCCAGTGACAAGATTGCTACATTACAGATGCCACTTCTAAACCTGCATCTAGACGTCAAAGAAAATGGTCAAGTCAAACCATATTCTATCGAAATGAGTAAGGAAGAGCTGCAGAATCTAATAAATTCCTTGGAAGCAGCTAATAAGGTATTTGTTTTAATTTTGTGTTATGGTTTAAAACGTTTAAGTTTTGGTTGATACCATTAGAACCATGTAAGAAAAACTCAAAGTTTGCTTTTAATATTTCTTTTCCTGATAATTTATGTCAAGCATAGAAAATACTTTATGTTCTACATCGTTAGAGTTAGACATTAAATTAATTATAACTTGTAATTTTAATTACTTAGTTTTGAACATCATTTTTCAAGTAGTTATTTTTGAAAGAATAATAGTTCTAACAGCTGGATTTGTTTTGCTCCATTGCCTATTAATGATAAAAATTAATTTTTTACCTTGGGGCTATAATATTTATTCTGAAGAGTTTTTATGATTAAAAAAATATGTTCTTGAAGAAAATAGTGTTTTATTTAACTGGACAAATAATGGAAAATTGCTTTAACTACAGGAGACAAAATAGGCCTTGTGGTTATGACAAAATAAGGTTGAGACAAGAAAGAATTAATGAATGACTAGAAACTTGACATTTACAAAGGAATGGCTAAATAACAGTAACCATTTCTAGTGTTCAATCAATGAAAAAAATAATATTTAAACAGTAGAAACTGCTGCTGTGAGGAAGAAATAAATATAATTATCTTTGTTATGTATATTTCTTCTATTATCGGTCTGCATTTTCTCTACTGGTTGAGTCTTAATGATTAAAGTCAGTTTTTCTTACCAACCTCTTGCCACTAACCGATCTTCTTAGCTCTGTCTTTTTTTAAATCCTGATACACTTCAGCTTCCCTCCGTACTCTGCAGTTACTCGGCCATAGTGATGCCTTGATGACTGGTCCACATGCCCAGTCACCAGACATTCTGGCTTGCCTTTGGATGGCGCTAAATGTCTGATGGGGTGTGTGGTGGAGCCCAGAGTAAACGCGAAATGGTTCTAACCGTGGCCCTGGCAGGCCTGTGCCATCAGTTACTGAGCAGTGTACTCACTCTCAAGGCACTTCAGAGATTACAAAGCATCTCATTTAGCAGATGTTGGCATCATTCTGATATAAACTGATTCTCCCCTTCCCCTTTTCTTTTTAAGGTCATCCTGCAGTTGAAATAACTGGCATTGATGAATACCAACATTATCAGATTCCACTGCTACAGCTGATATGACAGAGTGAATATTGTGTGTTCAGAAGACCTGCAATATACCATTATGCCAAGCTGAGAAAGCAGCCGTGTTGAAATGACAAAGATAAAAATTTATCAACTTCCCTAAAGAACAGGAAATTACATGGTTGACAGGAAAGGCATTAAAAAAATTAAAGATAAAAAGCTATATTAGCGGTTTATATTTTCATAATGACTGTTCTGCTTCATTTATTAAATATTTGAGAGATCTTTATAAATATAGTGTTGCTAAAAACTAAAAATAGGCTCTAAAGTAATGTAAACGTACAAAGCACAAATAAACAACTTGCTAAAAGAAGAATGTGACTAGCAAGCATGTATAGTATGGATATGTATGACTAATTTGTGATATTAAAAAAATAACTTAAAGAATGTATAAGCTATATATACATATAACTCAAGAGATTCTATATCTTACTCATATTTCAAAGGAAGGATTATAAAATGTAAAAATTCTTAGAGAAAGAAGCTCTTCTGATATGAACAAGAAAAAAATAACCAAATCTGTGTAAATAATTTTTAGTTTATGCATTCTAGAAACAAATCTTGTACTAGAACATAGAAAAATGCAGTAACACTGCTGCTCTTCTATGTCTGGGTCTGATTGGGAGAGTAGGAGCTGATAGAAAGAATGTGTATCATTGTACAGTGTATATATTACTCTTCACATATTAGCTAAGATTATATATATGTTCGTTTTTGTTATAAACTTAATATTGAATTTAACAGTTTTGTATGTTTATTGGCAAACAGGTCACTTTAAATTTCAGTTACGTTTAAAGTTCTGAACAAATAAAAAATACAATTGTATGATACTGCTTTATTTCAAATGACTTTCCACATAATGCAATAATACATAATTAGCACCTGCTATTTGCAAGCTCATTAGCGCATCAGATTATTATTTGAGGTGTCCAGAGCAATTATTACTATTCTCATCATATAGATGAGGACAGGCTTAGAGAGGTTAATACAAATCGGAATGTGATGAGGATGGTGCATGTATCTTAGACTAATACTGTTTATTACAGGTCAATGATAGATGAGCTGGTACCAGAATGTTCAATTACTGCCTTCTTCCCTGGTTATGAAAAAATGTATTTCAGCTGAACTAAACAGTGTGCATAAGGCAGTAGTTGATTTATCTTGTGCAAGTTCCTTATGTCATTATGGACCAGTAATAGCACTAAATAATGATATAGGGTCCTTTTGAATTTCAGGCCTCCATACAGTGCTTCCTCTGAGAAGGAAAAAATCTTGCTCTACTTAGTTCCCTCTTACTACATTATTGCTATACTAGCATATTGAAATCTGATCGATAACACTATAAACTGCACGTACTTAAAGTTTATTATCTGACAAGTTTTGATATATGTACTCCCGGGAAAGTATCACCTCAATCAAGGTGGTGAATGTCTCAATCACTCCTGAGAGTGTCCTATTCCTTTGTAATCCCCACTTCTGCGCCCTTCTTTTCCCGTAACCACTGATTTGCTTCCTGCCGTGAAAGATTCTGATTCGTTCACATTTTAGAGATTTTAATATAAATGCAATCATGCAATATGTACTGTGTGTGTGTGTGTGTGTGTGAGAGAGAGAGAGAGAGAGAGGGATAGATAGATATCTGGCTCCTTTCAGCATTATTTTGAGTTCATGTTGCATATAGCAATAGTTCACTCCTTTTTATTGTTGAGAAATACTTTGTTGTAGAATTCTACTTTTCTTCATCTATTCACCTATTAATGAATATTTGGGTTGTTTAAATTTTTGGCTAGTACGATACAGTGGATGCTGTGAAATTCTTGTATATGTCTTTATATGGACATAAACTTTTCTATTAATAAATACTTGGGAGCAAAATGAGTGGATCATATGGTAAGTTTATGTGTTTCTTCTCAAGAAACTGCCAAACTATTTTCCAAATTGATTTTACCATTTTACATTCCATATCAGCCTATGGGAGTTCTTCCACTTCCTTACCAACACCTGATATGGTCAGTCTTTTTAATTTCAGCTATTCTGATGGGTGTATAGTGGTATCTCATTGTGATTTTAATAGAACTAATGATACTGTGTTCTTTTCATGTGCTTATTTGCCATCTGTATATCTTCTGTTTTTAATTTATCTTTATTGTTGAAAGTATTACAGATGTCTTCCCCTCTTCCCGTGTTGACACCCTCCTCCCTCTCCTATCTCCCCTGCCTTAACCACACTGTTGTCTGTTTCCATTGGTTATGCATATGTATATATACACATATACATATAAGTTCTTTGGTTTATCTCTCCCCACCCCCCCACCCCCACATCCCCTTACTCTGAGGTTTGTCAGTCTGTGCCCTACTTCCATGTCTCTGGATCTGTTTTGATCATCAGCTTATTTTGTTTATTATATTCCACAAATAAGTGAGATCTTGTGATACTTGTCTTTCTCTGACTGGCTTATTTTGCTTAGCATAATACTCTCCAGGTCCCTACATACCATCTCAAAGGGTAAGAGATCTTTCTTTCTTAAGGCTGCATCGTATTCCATTTGTAAATGTACCACAGCTTTTTAAACCACTCATCTACTGATATACACTAGGACTGTTTCCAGATCTTAGCTATTGTAAATAGTGCTGCTATGAACATAAGGGTACATATATTCTTTCTGATTGGTGTTGCAGACTTCTTAGGATATATTCCTAGAAATGGGATCACTGGGTCAAATGGCAATTCCATTTTTAATTTTTTGAGGTAACACCATATTGTTTTCCATAGTGGCTGTATCAGTCTGCATTCCCACCAGCAGTGTGCTAGAGTCCCCTTTTCTCTACGTCCTCACCAGCAATTGTTTGACAATTTGTTCATGGCAGCTATTCTGGCAGGTGAGGTGATGCCTCACAGTTGTTTTAATTTGCATCTCTTTGATGATTGATAACATTGAGCAGTTTTTTTACGTGTCTTGGCCATTTGTATGTCATCTTTGGAGAAGTGTCTATTTAGATCTTCTGCCCATTTTTAAATTGGATTGTTTATCTTCCTTTTGTTGGTAATATGAGTACTTTATATGTTTTGGAAATTAACCCCTTATCTGATGTATCATTGACAAATACATTCTCCCATACCGTGGGTTCCCTTTTCGGTTTTGATGCTGGTTTCTTTTGCTGTGCAGAAACTTTTTAGTTTGATGTAGTCCCATTTATTAATTTTTTCCGTTTCCCTTGCACTACAGGAGGTATCAGTGAAAATTCTGCTACATGTGATGTCTGAGATTTTGCTGCCTACATTTTCTCTAGGATTTTTATGGTTTCACGACTTACATTTAAATCTTTTATCCATTTTAAGTTTATTCTTGTGTATGGTGTAAGTTGTGGTCTAGTTTCATCTTTTTGCATGTACCTTCCAATTTTCCTAACACCATTTATAAAAAAGACCGTCTTTACTTCATTGTATGCTCTTGCCTCCTTTGTCAGATATTAATTGAGCATAGTGTCTTGGGTCCATTTCTGGGTTCTCTGTTCTGTTCCACTGGTTTATATGCCTGCTCTTGTGCAGCACCAGGCTGTTTTGTTTACAGTGGCTTTGTAGTATAACCTGATACCTGGTAATGTGATCCCGCCAACTTTGTTCTTTTTCAAGATCGCTGTGGCTATTTGGGGTCTTTTTTGGTTTCATAGAAACTTTTGGGGTTTCTGTTCTAGATCTCTGAAATATGCTGTTGTTATTTTAATAGGGACTCTATTGAATCTATAGATTGCTTTGGGTAATATGGACATTTTAACGATGTTGATTCTTCCAACCCATGAACAGGGTATATGCTTCTATTTTAAAAAATATTTTCCTCCATTTCTTTTTTTAATGTCCTATAGTTTTCTGAAAACAGGTCTTTTACCTTCTTTATTCCCAGTTTATTCCCAGGTATGTTAATTTTTTATTGTTGCAGTAGTAAATGGGATTTTTTTTTAGTTTCTCTTTCTGAAACTAAAATGCCATCGATTTCTGGATGTTAATTTTGTTTCCTGCTACTTTGCCAAATTCATTTATTAAATCTAGTAGTTTTTTTTTATTTTTATTGATGGAATCTTTAGGGTTTTCTATGTACAATATCATGTCATCTGTGACTAATGACAGTTTCACTTCCTTCTTTCCAATTTGGATGCCTTTTATTTTTTCTTCTTGTCTAATTGCTGTGGCTAATTAGTACTGTGGTAATTCCAGTACTATGTTGAATAAGAGTGACAAAAGCAGACATCCCTGTGTTATTCCTGTTTTTAAGGGAAATTCTTTTAGTTTTTTGCCCATTGAGTATGATGGCTGTAGGTTTGTCATATATGATGTTTATTATGTTGAGGTATGACTCCTCTATTCCCAATTCACTGAGAGTTTTTATTAAAAATGGGTGCTGGATTTTGTCAAATGCTTTTTCAGCCCCTATTGATATAATCAAATGATTTTTATCTTTCATTTTTTGTTTATGTGGTTTATCATATTTATTGATTTATGAATTTTGTACCAGCCTTGCATTCCTGGGATAAATCCCACTTGGTCATGGTGAATAATTTTTTTAATATATTGCTGGATCCGATTTGATTATATTTTGTTGAGGATTTTGTCATCTATGTTCATCAGAGATACTGGCCTATGATTTTCTTTCTTTGTGGTGTCTATATCTGGTTTTGGAATTAGGATTATGCTGGCCTCATAAAAAGAGTTTGGAAATTTTCCTTCCTCTTGAATTTTTTTCAAATATGTTGAGGAGAATAAGTGCTAGTTCTTCTTTGAATGTTTGGTAAAACCCCTGTGAAGCCGTCCAGATGCTGGCTTTTGTTTGCTGGGAGTTTATTGATTACTGCTTCAGTTTCCTTAGTTGTTATTGGTCTGTTCAGGTTTTCTGACTCTTCCTGGTTAAATTTTGGAAACTTGTTTGATTCTAGGAATTTGTCCATTTTGCCTAGGTTGTCCAATTTTTTGGCATATAATTGTTCATAGTATTTTCTTACAGTTCTTTGTATTTCTGTGGTGTCAGTTGTTACTTCACCTGTTTTGTTTCTCATTCTATTTATTTGGGTCCCCTTTCTTTGTTTCTTGGTGAGTCTGGCTAAAGGTTCACCAATCTTGTTTATCTCCTTAAAGAACCAGCTCTTGGTCTCATTGATTTTTGTATTTTTTTTAGTCTCTATGTCATTTATTTTCACTCTGATCTTTATTATTTTCTTCTACTTACTCTGGGTCTGTTTCCTTGCTGGTTCTTTGTCTGGAAGATCTATCCAGTGATGTAAGAGGGGTATTGAAGTCCCCTACTATGATTGTATTGCTGTCTATCTCTCCCTTAAAGTCCTCCAGCAGTTTTTAATATATTTTGGTGCTCCTGTATTGGGAGCATTTATGTTTACCAGGGTTATATCCTCTTGTTGGATTGATCCCTTTAATATTAGGTAGTGCCCTTCTTTGTCTCTTGTTATGGCCTTCAGTTTGAAGTCTATTTTGTCAGATAAGAGTATTGCTACCCCAGCTTTTTTTTGTTTGTTTGTTTCCATTTGTATGGAGCATTTTTTCTATCCCTTCACTTTCATCCTTTGTGGGTCTTTTGTTCTGAGATGGGTCTCTTATAGACAGCATATATATGGGTCATGTTTTCTTATCCAATCAGCTACCCTGTGTCTTTTGTTTGGAGCACTTAAGTCATTTAGATAGGTCATTATTGATAGGTACTTATTTGTTGCCATTTTAATTCTTTATCCTTGTGTTTCTCTCTCTCTCTCTCTCTCTCTCTCTCTCTCTCTCTCTCTCTCTCTTCTTCTAACAACATTCCCTTTAGCATTTCTTGCAATGCTGGTTTGGTGGTGATAAATTCCTTTAACCTATTTTTTTCTTTTCTTTTTTCTTTATCTGCAAAGCTCTTTATTTCACCTTCAGTTTTGAACGATAGCCTTGCTGGATAGAGTGGTCTTGGATTTAGTTTCTTGCTTTTCATTACTTTGTATACTTCATGCCACTCCCTTTTGGCATTAAGCGTTT